TTGCCACTTCAATTCAACATGGTACTGGAAATCCTAGCCAGAACAATTACGCAAGAAAAAGAAAAGGCATCCAAAGAGAAAAGGGAGAAGTAAAATGATCTCTGTTCACAGAAGACATGATTTTATATGGAAAACCCTAAGGACTCCACAAAGAAACTGATAGAACTAATAAATGCATTTAATGAAGCTGCAGGATACAAATCAATATACAAAAGTCAGTTGCATTTCTATACATTAACAATAAACTATCCCAAAAAGGAAATTAAGAAAAAAATTCTCATTTATAAGAATATCAAAAAGAATAAAATACTTAGGACTAAACCAAAGAGATCAAAGACTTGTACACTGAAAATTACAAAAAAAAAATGATGAAAGAAATTAAAGAAGACACAAACAAGTGTCCCATATTCACGGATCAGATTTCATATTATTAAAAATGTCCATACTTCCTAAAGTAATTTACAGATTCATTGCAATCCTCATGAAATTCCCAGTGGCACTTTTTTTTACAAAAATAGAAAAACAATCCTAAAATTTGTATAAAACTTAAAAGGACCCCAAATCACCAAAACAATCTTGAGAAAAAAAGAACAAAGTAGGAGGCCTCATAATTTGTTATTTGAAAACATATTACATAGCTACAATAGTTAAAATGGCATGGTATTGGTATAAAAATAGGCAATAGAACAACAGAACAGAACAGAAAGCCCAGAAATATTTTTATATGCTTAATCAATCTTCAACAAAGGTGACAAGAATAAACAATGGGAAAAGATCATCTCTTTAATAAATGGTGCTGGGAAAATGGGATATTCATATCAGAAAAATGAAATTTGACCCTAATCTTACACCATACACAAAAATCAAATCAAAATGAATTCAAGACTTAAACCTAAGACTTGAAACTCCAAAACTACTAGAAGAAAATATAGGAGAAAAGCTTCGCAACACTGGTCTTAGCAATGATTTCTTAGATATGACGTCAAGAGCACAGGAAACAAAAGGAAAAATAAACAAGTATAACTACATCAAACTAAAAGCCTTCCTCACAGGAAAGGAAATAATCAACAGAGTGAAAAGGCAACCTATGCGACAGGAAAAAATATCTGCAAATCATATATTTGATAAGGGGTTAATCTCCAAAACATATAAAAAAATGAACTCCTACAATTCAATAGTAAAAACACAAATGACCAGTTTAAAAATAGACAAAGATTTGAATAGACATTTCTTCTAAAAGGACATGCAAATGGTCAACAGGTATATGAAAAGAAGCGCAATTATTAATCATCAGGGAAATGCAAATCAAAATTGCAGTGAGACATCACATCTGCTTAGAATGGCCATTATAGATAGATTGATTGATTGATAGATATAGATAGATAGATGATGATGATGATGATGATGATGATGATGATAGATAGATAGATAGATAGATAGATAGATAGATAGATAGATAGATATAGATGTGTGTTTCTGTGTGTGTGTATGTGTGTGTGTGCAGGCAAAGATGTAGAGAAATTGGAACCTTAGCACACTGTTGGGAATGTAAAAAGGTGCAGTCACTATGTATAGAAAACAGTATAGAAGTTCCTCAAAACATTAAAAATAGAACTACCATATGATCTAGCAATCCCACTTCTGGGTATTTGTCTAAAAGAATTGAAACCAGGATCTTAAAGTATTTGCATTCCTGTGTTTTGTGCAACATTATTCACAATAGCTAAGTTACGGAAACAACCTTAGTGTCCATTGATAGATAAATGAATAAAGAAAATGAGGTATGTACATGAAATACTACTCAGCCTTTAAAGAGGAGGAAATCTTGTCATATGTGACAATATGGGTGAACTTTGAGGACATTATGCTAAGTGAAATAAGCCAGCTACAGAAGAATAAATACTACATGATTCCATTTATATGAGGTATCTAAAGTAGTCAAACTCATAGAACCATAGAGTAGAGTGGTGGTTGCCAAAGGCTGGAGTAAAGGGGCAATGGGGAGTTGCTGTTCAATCAATATAAAATTTTATTTATGAAGGATGAAAAAGTTCTAGACATCTGCTGTACAAAATTGTGCTTATAGTTAAAAGTACTATTCTGTACACTTAAAAACTGTTTAAGAGGGTATACTCATGTCATTTTTTTTACCACAATAAAAATAGAAGGGAAAAAAGGAGGTGGAGGAGAAATAAAATTTTCTTAGACAAACAAAAATTAAGGGAAATTATTGCCAGTAGACCACCTATGCAAAAAATGTTAAATGAGTCTACAGCCATGCTGTCCTGAACAAGCCCTATCCCATCCGACCTTAGAAGCTAAGCAGGGTCGGGCCTGGTTAGTACTTAGATGGGAGACCACCTATGAAAACCAGGTGCTGTAGGCATAAAAAAATAAAAAATAAGGGATTGTAAGCTGACAAGGTCCTTGCAATCTGTGAGGTCAACCAAGGGTTGCCTCACCTAAAAAAAAAAAAAAGTTAAAAGAAGGTTTTTAGAAAGAAACTTGGATCTACATAAAAAAGGAAGAGTATCAGAGAATAATAAATTCAAATAAATACAACCTTTTCTTTTTCTTATTCTTAATGGATATAATAGATAACTGTTTAAAGTAATAACAGCAACAATATATTGGGCGATTTTTCTGTATAGATAAATGAAATGAATTAAAACAATGTTAAAAGAGGTGAGGAAGAATTGAGAATGCTCTAAGTACCTGCACTATCTATGAAATGGTAAAGTGTTATGCAAACGTGCTGTTAGTTATAAATGGATATTATAAACTCTAGGGAAACCAGTAAAATTTTTTCAGAAGAAGAAAAATGTGCTACGAGATAAAAGAAAATGAAATAATATAAAATGTTTAACTAAAAGTAGAGATGGCAGTAAAAGGAGGTGGTGGAAAAGAAACAAAGAACAAGTACAATGAAAACAGTTACAAACATAGTAAATATTAATCCAAGTATATCAATAATCTCTTTTAATATAAATGGCCTAAATATGCCAATTAAAAGACAGAGACTGTCAGAATAGATTTTTAAAAAAGATTCAAGTGTATGTTGTCTACAAGACACAGATAGATTAAAAGTAAAGTGATGGAAACTCTATACTAACAATAATCAAAAGATAGCTGGACTAGCTTTTTAAAGGTTTTTTTTTTTTAATGCACTGATAAATGCTACAATGTAGATGAACCTCACAAGCATGCTAAGTAAAAGAAGCCAAAACCAAAAGACTGTATGTTGTGTTATTCCAAACTTAAACGAAATGTCCAGAATAGCAAATTCATAGTGACAAAGTGTTTTTCAGTGGTTGCCTTGGGTTGGTAATGGGGAGTGACTACTAATGAGTATGGGTTTGTTTGAGAAGTAATAAAAATGTTCTAAAATTGATTGTGGTGATGGTTGCACAACGATACACTTTAAATGGGTGAATTGTGTGGTATCTGAATTAAAACTCAATAAAGCTGTTATATAAAAAGGAAATGGCAACATTTTATTTCTTAAGCTGGGTGGTGTGGTCATGGGTGTTCATTTTATTATAATTCTTTAAATTTTCATTTAGTGTATTTTCTTTGTAGGTAAAGTATACATCTTGCTAAAATATCTTTTAGAAGTCTGACAAACCTGGATTCTAATTCTGGCTTAACCACTTAACAGCTATGAGTTCTTGGACAGATTACTTGACCTTTTAATGTCTTATCTTTAAAGCAGAGATAGTAATAATAGTAACTCACTCATAGGCTTTTAAATCATGTGCCTGGCACATTGACAGTGTTATTATTAGCTAATATGAGCTCTAAGCAGTTGAGCCACTTGCCTAAATAACCAGAGTCATGGCTTCTCTTTCTTTAAACTCAACTTCCATATTTGCTATTCTGTCAGAGTTCACAACTTTGATCAGAGGGGAAAAAAAATTAACCTTCAAGTAGGACCTACTGAATTCTATTTTTAAAACATCCTTACATAACAGCTCTATAAAATCAATAAAGCTCCAAACAAATCAGGACAAAACCAAAATTTCTGCCACTTCTGAGGGTTGGTATCAATTAATGTTCTAGCCTGGCTCTTGGAGTTCAAGTCTAGGCTTGATTAAGAGAAGAATATTCTTTTCGGTCTTGAGCAGCCTCCAGAATTCATGTCCATTTTGAACCTAGTCTCCAGGTTAAGTCCTAAGAACCTCTGTGTGTAGGGTTCTAGCTCAGATGAATGTACCAGTAAATGAGTCAGGGATGGGTAATCAGAAAGTAAGGAAGGGCAGGAGATTTATCCCAGTCTCTTTCAAGGACTCTTAAAGGAAAAGCTATTCTGTTGTTCTCCATGAATCAAAATCAATTTATATTCAATGTGTAATTATTATCAGAGCCCTTTGCTTAAAGTACCTGCCACACAGTTCAGTGTTAGTTCCCTTCCACATTTCCATGTTAATAGCTGCCTTTTAGCCATAGCACTGTCTGAGACTTCCTCTACCAGACCCAGAGAAATTGAATAAAAGATGAACCTAGGCAGTTTAGCTATTGTTAGCAACTGAGGTAAAACATTCATTAAGGCAGGCGAAGACTAAACCATTGGATCTAAATAGAATTTTACTTGAGCAACACTTTCCCTAATCTTTCACTCATCCCACACTAAGTTGATATCAAGTTGCAAAGTCTCATAGCATCCCTTTAATTACCCTTTTGTATATAACATGTTTACAGTATTTGATTTCTTGTCTGTCATTCACTCAAGATTCTATGCTCTATGAGGGGAAGGACCAGCTCTTTCTTGTTCACTACTGTAACCCCATCAGCTAGTACAGGACCTTTCACATATTAGGTGCTCAGTAAATTATTTGTTACATTAATAAACAATCAATCCATGTAACAATGAATCAGTTCCTGGCATGATCAATGGGAATAATTAAGAATTTGACTGGAGACCTTGAATTTCCAAACAAGGTGGTCCTAGAAAAGGATCTCATTGTAAAACAGCTTATTTGGGGGAAATATTAAGAATTTACCTGTGCTGAGTGAGTACATTTACAGCCGAAGGATGATTTGCACAGTAAGCCAGATACATGGATTTAAAATGAGGCATGAGGTTCAGAAGACAACCTCCTACTTTGTGTTGGTTTTCTGGAAACCTGTAGGTAAAACAGGTGAAAGACAGAATGTAAAATAAGAAATGAGATAAAGGAAGATAATTCTAATTAAACGTGGCAACATACAAACCTTTCAAATTCTTTCGCCAAAGTTAAAAGAGAAATTATATTACAACCACTTATCCATGAAATGCAAGTTCTTGACTACTGCTTTAACTAACCACCAAACATAGTGCCAATACATAGGGTCAGATACTTATTAGGAATTAGTAGGTGGAGTTTTAAGATGTTTATTCAAATTATAATATTCAAATTTATAGCCAGATACACTAAAAATACTCTTGGCTAATTTAGATGAAGTTCAAGTACAGACAAAACTAATGGAATCCAAAAAGGAGTATTACAGTGTCTTGATGGCCTGCTGGTTGCTAAGCAGCATGGCCTCAAGATTTTTAAAAATTAACATTTTAATGACAAGCCACCTGTTAATATAAAAGACATGATACTACGAATGACCAAAACAGAAAATTGAGCTTATAAAATTAAATGAATAACCTGAATAACTTTTCCAAGTAATTTGCAATGCACAAAAGAAAGTATCTAATCAATGTCACAGGCAATATATCCATGGTCAACTGAGACCTTATTCGTCTCTTATACTGACCAGAAGCAGTAAACTGATTTGATTCTTAAATAAAATAAAAAATACAACTAGTGGTTTGACAGTGTGAGTACCACCACCTGGTGCATTTTCTTTGCACTTGAACAATTTATCAAAGTTATAACAAATGCATAAATATAAAGTGCCCCTATTTAAGACAACAGTTAAAAGGAAAACAAAACAGAAAAACAACATTCTTATTTATCCTTGGCAATATACAACACTTACTTCGAACATTCTTCCAAGGCTTGGCAGAGTGTCTGTTGAAATGTGCATACTTCCTCAAAGTTTCCCAATAAAGATGTAAACTCCACAGTACTCAGACTGAAAAAAAAACCATATATATATATTGGGAAACATATATAGTATCAGTGAATAGAACTTGAGGATGACTCTAAATATCTATCTCTAGTCTAGTGAGCTGATAGTTTGCTAATAAGTGGCAAATGAGATAAGGGAAGCAATCCCTATATTTTAACTTTTGCTTTGTAATGTATACTAATTCTGGTTTTAAGCAACTTTCTAAAACTTCTTTCCTTGATTTCTCTTTTCTATAATAAGAATAATGATCTTAAAGGAACAGAGTGTTTGTAAGGTATGTTACAAAGCAATGAGTAAATGAATAACAAGTTATTAATATCTAAGTATCTACAGAGAACAGTTTGGTGGTTGCCACAGATGGAGGGTGGGAAGTGGACAAAATGGGTGAAGGGAATCAAAAGATACAAACTTCTAGTTTTAAAATGAATAAGTCATGGAAATGTAATACACAGCATGGTAGCAATAGTTCATAATAGTGCACTACATATTTGAAAGTTGCTAAGAGAGTGGATCTTAAAAGTTCTCATCACAAGAAAAAATTTATATAACTATGTAAGGTGATGGCTCTTAAGTAACTTATTGTGGCAATCATTTCGCAATATATACATATATCAAATCATTACATTGTACACCTGAAACTAATACGTTATGTTAGTTATACCTCAATAAAAAAAAAAACTCTCAGCATCTAAATAAGTAAAATATATAAAATCATAAGTGGGGATAAATTTAAAAACTTTTGAGTACTCTCCTAGAGGAGCTGGGAAAGTAATTGAAAAGTATTATATATGTTCATATAATGCACAGGGAAAAATAGCATAATCCAGTTTCTCCTAAATTAAAATGCTCATAAATCAGCTAAAGGAAATCACTATGAAAGGGAGTAGGAGGGAAGAAAATAGTACTGATTTGTTTGCTTGTTTGTTTTTGGAGTGGAATGGAGTCAAATAAAGGCAAATTGAACAATTTTATTCAGGGCCTCTGTATTAAGAATTTTCTTATTTGTTCTTCCCCTATCAAATAGGTGATGATAACAACAAGAGCCAACAACACTCATACAGCATTTAACACTTATGTAAGCATTTTACAAATAATAACTCACTTGAACCTTACAACAACTTTATGATGTTGTTTCCATTTTACATGTAAGGAAACACAGGTACAGAGAAGTTAAGCAAATCCCCCAAAGTCACAAAGCTAGTGAATGGTGAAGCCAGAATTTGAATTGAAACATTCTAAGTTCCAGAGTTCACACTCTTAACCACTTTTTTTTGGGAAAAAAATTGCCGAAGATTTATTTCCCTTATCCCATGGCTTTATCCCATTTAAGGCTAGTGTGTGCCACATGTCCTTTGTCCTTAATATACTAATACTAGGGGAGTGTTTCCAAAAGAGTAATTTTTGCTGACGAAGAAAAGGAAGACCCACAGAAACGTTACCAGTAACTCCTAGAGTATAAAAAGCTCCCAGTTCCTCTGCTCTATTGCCCTCCTAAACCACAAGATGGAAAACCCCTATTATGGGTTTCAAAAGCAAAACGTTCAGCTAGCTTCCCTGGCTGTTGATTTCTCACAGCCCTAAGAACCTGACTTGGGGGTTTACTTGAACCTGACTGGGGGCTTATTGGGCTCCTCCAGGATCAGACAATAAACAGTCTGGCTGGCTCAAATCACTCTGGGATCTATGAAATAGAACCAATGGAAACTTACTATAACTGCATCTTGAATTCATCTGGGAACAATGCAATTCTGACTCAGGTCTCTCACCTCCTCTGCACCAGCTCTTTTCCTTTCCTCTCACTGCTTCTTGATTGCTAATCAGTCACCCCTTCATTGAGATCTTACCATCTCCCCTCCCAGGGTGGCCATTTCAGTTTCCCTGTCCTCCTCTGCCTGTCACCTCCAGAAAACATTTCACTTTGTGGCAGGAGACACAGTGGGCCCAATCTGGCCACTGACTGGCTATGTAATGGGTATGGCAGTAAGCCTTTCCTGACTTCGGTTTTCTTAATTATTCAATGGGGATAGTCATTTCTTCCAGGGCACTAGACCCAGTGATTCATGGAGGTCCATTCAGCCCTAAGAACTATGATTCACAGAACACTTCACATTTTACATAATGACAAAAGACACTTTGTTGTTGATTATGTTTAAACTCTTACAAAGCACAGGAATACAAAATACTTTCATACTGAAGTAAGATTCTCATACTGCCAAGAAAATAACCAAGTGGGAAATTTAGCAAGACATTATGCCTAAGCAAATACAATTTGGGAAAATGGGAAAATAGTGAAAAAAATTGAGCTTATTTAAGTCTGAAGTCAATAGTTTAGGTAACTGTCTAGCAAAAGTAAAGTTTTAGTGAGATAAAAGAGGAAGATTTTGTTCTCCATTAGATAGACCCATTGCTAAATTTTCTTTGGACTTATAGATCATAATATCTATTAAAATTTAATCGATTAACATAAAAACACAAACAAATGCGGTTAGCCACTGTTTGTTAAATATGCCATGCCTACAAGCACACGCACACGAAAATGAATGGTCGATATTTCTCTTTTATGAAAACTAGGTTTTCAATTGAGGCCTCAGAAATCACTTTTGATTTCTAAGACCAGAATAAGGTTTGAACATTTTATTTTTAAAAACGTGTTAATACCTCTTTATCATTCACTTTTGCCTGGTTAAAATACTGACTTGAATCTCCCTTATGAACAGCTACAAAATGCCATACTCTTTCCACTCTCAGAGCATCGGAAAGAGTTTCTTCCTGGGCAAGCAAAGGTCAGAATGAGGACAAGAATTTCCAGTTTATGTGCTTTCTGCATAAAAACACCAGCATGTCTTTTTTCTGTATAAGGTAAAACCAGATGTACCACTTTTCAAATGTACAAGATAAAAATTGTGATAGAAATGCAGATCTGCTCATCCCTTCCACTGCCAGAAGAGAAAGAAACCAGGCTCTCCAAAAGCAATATCTTGCATAATTTCTGTTGCCTTGACCATGTTCTTGGCAACCTATCATCTGTAGAAATTCTTCTAAAGGGTAAAATCAATTATTCAGTGATATAAGAGTAATGACTCCACATGCTAACATTATCTTGCTTTATTTAGTGAAGGGTTTGAAATACAAATCTTACTTGTTATTGGACTGCAGGGGTCTTAAGTACGTAACAAGAAGAGACTGAAGTTCTTTAGCATATTCTTTTTCAGTGTCCAGGATGTTCTGTAACACCTATGGAGAAGCAAAGGTCAAGGTATTGTAATTATCAGGACAGTCCAGGGTAAAATAGAGCTCTCAATCTTTTAATCAAACTACTAGAAAAGAAGTCCCATTTACTCAGGCTAGCACTGTAGGTAAGAAGCAGAGTCTGAATGCACTTTGTTTCATTCTAGCGAACTATTTTAATAATTGCATCACAACTAGTTATGTTGCGTAACTCAGATGAACAGAATTTTTCAGTTACCCATAACTGGATAGGCTTTGCCATTTACATAGTACTCTTCAGAATGCTTTCATGTGCTTTAAATCATTTTATCCTCAGGAAAGATCTCAGTTAGCTAACAAAGGATCACTAGTCCCATTTTAAGGATGAAAAAATTGAGACCAGCTACCTTAAGACATAGAGTAGGTCTTTGAATAACGTTTCACTCAACATTGCTTTGTTATAACGTTAATGAGATGCCATAGGAACCTAAGTTTTGTTTATATCAATTAGTCTATGGTAAAATTAGTTTTTTTATATGTCATGTCACCTAAAGTCACAGAATCTACTGACAATGTTAAGTGAGGGCTGCTGTAAATTCAATGTCAGGGTGATTTAACAATCACTGATGTCAAACATGACAAAATATTTTTTAAGTTATGTTTTTGATAAGGCCTTCATGGGACAAAATCTGAGGACACCGGATTTTTAAACAAGGTTAAAACTGGTCTTTTAATAAAGGTAAAAGGTGCTAATATAAATAATACAAAAAGAAAAGGAAGCTGAAATATGAAGAATTTAACAAGGGAAATAATGTTTACCAGTATTATTAATGATAACCAAATTAAGTCCTATAGGCAAAACAATCAATGTACAGGCCCACAATTTTTCTTCCCCCATCAATCCTAGGGTCACGGTCCATTTCCCAACCTCTTCTGGAGGCAGCTACAACCTTCATTTTGAGCTCCTAGCTCACATTTTGATATATTTTCTCTCATATCTCCTAATTCTTTCAACGATAAACTCACTGTATGTCTACTCCATGCCAAATGCCATGCTGCTCACAAGAAATTTCCACTCTATTTGTAGAGGGAGATATTAAACAGGGGACCACAAGACAATGTGAAGCATTCTTAGCTAGGAGAAGCCCCCGAGTCTACCAATATGCCAGACATATACTCACAAGACAATGCATGGTGACCTGCTTTTGAAAGGTGAAATGGACAAAGCAAGTGGAGCCCAGGTAGCTGTGGGCTTTTTGGGAAACAGATAGGCTGAAGGGTGGTTGTCCAGGCTCTGCTACTGACTAAAAGGTTGCTTCAGTTTTAAGGCTTCACTTACCTCATCTCAAATTGTGACATTTCACCTACCTCAGGGACCATTGTGAAGAGGCAGTGAGACAGTGTACAGGTAGTTGCTGGGTGAGTGAGAAACGGTCCCACCAATTTAAGGGGTTAAAAAAGGTTTCTGAATGGCAGCAGTGTTGATATTTCAGACCAGATAACTCTGCTCTGAGGGAGTACACTGTACACTGTAGGATGTTTAGTGGCATCCCTGGCCTCTACCTGCTAGATGCCAGTTAAACGCCACCCCCTACTGTAGTTATGAAAACCAAAAATGTGTCTAGACATTGTCAAATGTCACATGAAGGGCAATATCACTCCTAGTTGAGAACCACTGGTTTAGAAGAACATAGGCCACAGGGTGGCTTCAAAAGCTAGGGCTTAAATTATAGCCCCTCCTCTACAACCACTCATGTCTACTTTCAGTTCCTCTGTTCCTCAGAAATTACACTCTAAAAGTATAAGTCTAAATCCAGGGGCTTAGAGATATTAATTCTCTGTGAAATTAATTCGGTGATGGAATAGAAATGTTACCGCCTGTGGAAAGTCTAATGACAATAAAATAAATAGGAACTATCTTGAGATAAATAAAAAAAACATTAAAAAAAACATGGGAGGCAGTTAAAGCAGTGCTTAAGAGACAAATATATAGCTGCAAATGCTTATATGAAATAAGAAAGAGGACTTCTGATTTCCAGTCCTACATTTAAGGAGCTTGGATGTCATTACTCCATCCTAACAATAAGTAAATTGCTGAACAAACTGGAAAAAAAAAACTAACTTTTCTTACATCTGTCAGGGAATTGAGGTCACAGGGGAAAATGGTACCCCTCCAAATTGGAGAGGCAGACAGGCAGATACAGAGAATCAAAACTTGCTGGAGCAGAAACCCGGGAGCAGAAGCCCTCATGGGAATCAGTACAAGGGGAGGAAAACCTGAACTGAAATGAATAGCTGGGGGCTCAGTGCAAACAAGTCTGAGACTTAAAAACTCCAGGGGAACGTACCCACACTTTTGTGAGTTTTACTTCCAGTAGCTCTAATGGGTTCTCACAATGAAGATAAGAGGATAATCCCCCTCATCCTTCAGAAGAGGGAAGGAAAAAACAGCTATTTTGAAACACACCACAGTATTCTGTTCTTTGTAACAAGGTCTGCCCTCGAAAGAGAAATGATTTTACCAGAACCTAACTTATTGGGGTTTTATCAGAGCTTAGCATACTTAGGGGAAAGGAAGTGCCTTACTCCAGCTCCCTCTAGCTTTCCTGTTCCAACTAAAGAAGGAAGAAAAACCTGAGAGGCATTGGTGAAGTTCACAATCTAGGGACATAAGCTCACCAAAAGACTAAGACCTAATCATAAGACTTTAGAATACTTCCCCACACCTCACCACCCCATTTCTAAAGGTCTATTTGTCTGGTTTCCAACGGAAAATTGCATAGCATACTAAAAGGCAAAAAACAGTTTGAAGAGGCAAAGCAAACAGAACCAGAGTCAAATATGGCAGGAATGTTGGAATTATTAGACCAAGATTTTAATATAATTGTGATTAATATGCTAAGACCTCTAATGGAAAAAGTAGGTAATGTGCAAGAACAAATGGGTATTGTAAGCAGAAGGAAATACTATGAAAGAATAAAAATGAAACGCTAAAGATCAAAAACACTATAAGAGAAATGAAGAATGAATCTGTAAGCTTCAGGATACGTCAGTATAAACTCCCAAAACTGAAAAGCAAATAGAAAAAAAAGACTGAAAAAATGAGACATAATATTTGAGAACTGCGGGACAACTACTAAAAGTGTAGCATATATGTGATGAGAATACCAGAAAAAGAAGAGAGAAAGGAACAGAAGAAAATATGTGAAACAACAATGACTGACAACTTCCCAAAATTAATGTTAGACACCAAATCACAGATCCAGGAAAATACAAGCAGAATAAATGCAAAAAAAAAAAAAAAAAACCCCAAAACAACTCTAGGCATGTCATTTTCAAACTCCAGAAAAACCAAAGATAAAGGAAAAATATCTTGAAAGAAGCCAGAGGGGGAAACCAGCTTATCTGTAGAGGAGTTAAGATAAGAATTATATCCAACGTCTCCTCAGAAACCATGCAAACAAGAGGAGAGTGGAGCGAAATATTTAAAGTGTTGAGAAAGAAAACATTAACCTGAAATTCTGTACTCTGTGAATCTTTTTTCAAAAATCAAGAAGAAATAAAGACTCTTAAACATGCAAAAATTGAGGAAATTTTTTTGGCAGTAGACCTGCCTTGCAAGAAATGTTTTTAAAAAGTTCTTCAAAGAGAAGGAAAATGTTATAGGTCAGAAACTCAGAACCATATAAAGGAAGAAAGCATGAGAAAAGGAATAAGTGAAGGTAAAAACTTTTACTTTTCTTATTCTTAATTGATCTAACAGATAACAGTTTGTTCAAAATAATAGAAACAATGTATTAGATTATATACATTTATATATAATACATATGTTTATGTGTAAGTGAAATGAATGATAACAATGATACAGGGATGGGAGGAAGGAATTAGGAATACTTTGTTATTATAAGGTATTTGCACTACCTATGAAGCTGTATAGTGTAATTGGAAAGTGGACTTGGACTAGTTCTAAATGTATATTGCAAACCAGGACAATCACTAAAAAAAGTAAAATAATTTCTAGAAAGACACAAACTACCAAAACTGACTCACAAAGAGAGAGAAAATCTGAATAGACTGATAACAAGTAAAAAAATTGAACCTTGAATTAGTATTCAAAACAACTTCATATGAGTTAAAGTCCAAGCTAAGATGGCTTTACTGATTGATTCTATAAAAAGTTTAAAGAATTCACATCAATCCTTCATGAACTCTTAAAATCCTGGAAAAGAACAAAGTTAGAGTGTATATTTTCCAATTTCAAAACTTACTACAAAGCTATACTAACAAGACAGTTTAGTACTGGTATAGGATAGATATATAGACCAACGGAATAGAATTGAGAGTCCAGAAATGAACCTATGGTCAATTGACATTTTTTTTCATTATTATAAAAAGTTAATGAATATACACATATAATTATAGGGAGTAAAATTTCCCCCATCTAATTTTACTCCCTAAGACAACCACACGAGGTTCTGCTGTATATTTTTAGATGTTTATAGTTGATTTTTGACAAGGGTAATAAGGCCTTTCAAAATGGAAAGAACAGCCTTTTCAATGAATGGTACTGGGACCACTGGACATCTACATGCAAAAGAAAGAATCTGTACTCATATTTTACACCATATACAAAACTAACTCAAAATGGATTCAGGACTTAAAACTCAAAACTCTTAGAAGAAAACAAAGAAGGAAATCTTCATGACCTTGGATTCAGTAATAGAATCTTGGATGACACCAAAAATACAAGCAACAAGAGAAAAAATAAATTAGAATTCATGAAAAAAATTTGTAAGTGTGCACCAAAGGTCAATATTATAAAAGTGAACAGACAACCCACAGAATGGGAGAAATATTTACAAATCATATCTCTGATAAGGGTCTAGTATCCAGAATATATAAAGAACTCTTACAACTCAATGATAAAATTAATCAATTATAAGTTGGCAAAGAATTTCAATAGACTTTTCCAAAGAAGAGATACACATGAATATATACTCAACACCATTAACCATTACGGAAATGCT